GTTATCATTATTTTTTTTATTTTCAAAGTTTCAGGGCAAAACAAAGGATCTCGTCTAACGTTTACCATTTGTCAAACCGTTAACAGACGATTCAGCCTTGTAACCAGTCATATAAGGCTTGCCTTTGACCGCTAGATGTCGTAGTCATATCTTATGTCGTTGGGTTGCTGTTTCATTGACATTATATACCTTGATAATGTTGTGAATGATCTTTTCAGATTTCGTTAATGATAACTCCATGGATTCCGAATATCTGACAAAAAGTCAAAAACAAATATCATTACCACCATGTTACACTTGTGACAAGGGTTGGAAGTCAAAATTATTCCTGGCTGGGAAAACGGGGATTTTGATTTCAATTAAGCAAGGGGCTGTGCTCTGAAATATTTTGACATGCATGGCTTTGTAAAAAAGGAAAATGTAATTTTAATTTTCAGAAAAAAATGTAAGTTTTGGCCACTTTTATTTTATTATGCGCATATTTATCTTATCCACTATTATTATCCCAATCCGTTCTCTGAAATTCCTTTAAATATAAAATAGCCAACACCCTACGAAATATCTGAGTTGGCAATAAAAAAACTGGGTTAAATCACGTTTCAGGATGACATTTTTAACTAATTTTTAAAAATGTACAGGAAATATTGTGGATGATATCAAGCTTTAAAAGAAGATTTTTATGCAGATAACGCTTAAACTTGACAAGGAAGTTGGTTAGTACCTGTTAACATAAGACCCGGTCTAAATAGTCATACGCTTCAAGTCGCCATGGGGTAAATCTGTTAAAGTTTTCTCATTGGTAAATATTAGATGAAGTAATGGCTTTCTTAACGTCTGATTGTATAATATTGGGGTGCATCTATTATATGTGTGCGTATCCGGAAGTGAAGCCGGAAAAAAATCATGATAGTAGGTCATGAAAATGACAGTGAAGTATTCATTCAAGTTGATAGTGAAGTGTTGAATCGATATATTAATGACGCAAGGTCAAACACGAAAGTTATTCAAATTGATTAAGTTTTGTTCATTCTTTATTATTCAATTGTGAATGCATCAGATATGAATATTATTTTTACTTGTTAGTGTGTTTTAGATCAGTTCCTGAGTTACAAAGCATCAATAAAGTTACAGTTATCACTTGGTTCACGCGTATCGTTATACAGGATAATTATAGTACACCCTTATCTATAAATAACCGAAATCAGTGATTTTGTTTTAAAGTGTATAAAATCAAACGTGGTAATTTATCTAAGTTAAGCTATACCAAGTCACTCACTGTCGTGAATTTTTAGAGCCATTTTCATATGTTACGTTCATACAAAACATTTGTATGCTTCTGTCTGTAGTTAACAATAATTAAAAATTTATAAGTATCTATTAACTGAAATAATTCAAAAGCAAAAAAAAAAAAAAATCTGTATTAAGAACGGGTGTTTTCAATTGAATTATTTTCGATTAATTTTAATGTTCATTTATCCCGGGTCTTAACTGGGACTAAAAGATATAATGTACATGTGTGTATAAGTCCCAGATCTAAAGTATAATATACTAGTATAGAAGAGGGATAGGTTGGTGTAGAAATGTGTCGAATTACTTCTAAGGTCATCCCACACGGGAAATAATAAGACTTTATACGAATAATACAGGTAAGGTAACTTTTAAGGGAAGGGGTATTTTACACACATAGTCGTCGTAACAGATCCGGTTGCTTGGTTTTTTGAGTACCGTCAGGTGTTTGAAAGCAGGTATACATGTAAGTAAAATATTTAAAGCGTTCCCATATTTATTTGTTTAAATAAAAATGAGATATAGGGTATCATAAATAAGACAGCAATCAAATTAACGCCAAGTTAAACAAGGTCAACACTCGGGTTTCGTCAATGAATACATGTCTTAACTTGATCAAGCTCTACATTGAAAAAAAAAAGATAATTGTGGATAATTTTACAAAGACTTTCAATAATATGCAATCTTGTGGAGAGTTGTCTCATTGACAATCATACCACATCTTCTTTTTTATAAATCAACACAAAATCACTAAAATAAAATAAATTAAATACACAAATTTAGGAGACCTTAAAACAATGATCAGGAACGAACTCCACTTCTTAATATCTGAGAATACAGTAATAACAGCTTCATGTATAAATTAAAAAAAATAAGAAGATGTTGTATGATTTCCAATGAGACAAATCTCCATCAGAGACCAAATGACATAGAAGGTACGGCCTTCAACAATGAATAAAACCCATATCGTTTAGTCAACTATAAAGGGCCCCCAAATGATAAATGTAAAACAATTCAAACGAGAAAACTAACATGTACATGTTTGTATTGTAATATTCTGACAACAAATGGTACACAATTGAACTTTGATCGATGCATGTTAGTAGTACTGGCAAATGTCCACAACAATAGTTTTAGTGAATATGTTTTTCTATGGTCCAGTCAGATATTTATAACATAAAGATAAGAAGATGTGGTATGAATACCAATTAGGTAACCATCCACCAGAGACAAAATGACGTAGATGTTTGCAAATATACGTCACCCTACGGCCTTTAACAATGAGGAAAACTTATACCGCATCGCAAGCTATAAATAAAGGATTATACATGACAAATGTAAAAAAAAACTTCAAACGACAAAACCAACGGCATGTCATGATAAATGTACAAAACAATAAATGAAAAGCAAATATAATACACAGCAACAAACGACAACCAATGACATACAGGCTCATGACATTGGTACAAGCAAACAGCCAACTTAGAGAGGTTTAACATGTTTGCGGGCGCCCAACGTACTCCTAACATGGGACATTGGTGTTAAAGCACAACGTACATGTCAGAACTAAATGTAAAATCCAGTTGAAAGAGGATTGACTCATCGGATTGAAACTGACAAAGCTAAAAAAAAAAACAACTAACAAGAAGACCAATACAAAGACAAAAAGTAACGATCATCAGAAAGTCACACATGTATTTACTCTACTTCATAACACAGATATAAGAAGATGTGGTATGAGTGCCAATTTTTGACTTTTTTCAGAACGGACTTTACTCCTTAAATTTTTTTCCCGCAGGAACTGTGTACCCTTATACACTACTGGAAGCTGCTCAAGTAGGATATGGGGACAATAAGTTCCGGTATAATAAAGATTCATCGGGATCTAAACCTTTGTTTATAAAAAAAGTTGGTTTATTGGGACAACTATGAAAGATATTGATGACACTTTTCTCACAAACAAACAAATATACAAACAGAGAGTAAATAATTGCCATGTCTGCTGAAAAAATGATTCATAAAAAAGTTTACCGAAATTAGTACAGGCAAACACGCAAGTGATTTACTAATTAGGGGTTAAAAATCACCACACACGAAGAAAAAGTTGTAACCATAAAAGTACTATATTTGCTTTTCCTCTAGTCTACTTTTTTCCTTATTACATTTTATATACAGAGCAATATTCTGAATGGATGAAACTATGGAGCAAAAAAAAAAACTATTTTCAATATAATAAGCTATAAAACGGCAAGCTTTTTAGAAAAGCTGTTACTTGTGTAATCCTAACATAAACGTGGATATTATTCTGTGCATATGACACGTGTTTCAGGAATCCATTTGAGCATGCTCAGTAATTCAAAATATGTTATCGACCAAACCCAAAAGAGCCTAAAGAGAACGATCACAATCATTTAAGGTCAACCTTAGACTTAGAACAATTTCATTATATATAACTTGGCAAAAATTCACCTAATATATAATTCAAAAGTACGTACATGTAAATACAAATGATATATGTCGCGTATATTTCGGATATTCATGAAACTTATTGGACTAATAAATTCATTATTTCTATTGACTTTGAATGATAATTTAGAAACAAATTTCAAGGAATTGTTTTTTTTTTTATTAGAATTCTCATTCTTTTTGATTAAACCTTTACAAATTAAACCAATTGTTGATTGTCCTTAGAACATTGAATATACATGATCTTTCTATACGACTGTGAAATGTCAGATTTTATTTGACTAGGGATATCACGTTATCAGATTTTATTTGACTAGGACATGACGTTAAGAGATTTTATTTGACTACGACATCAAGGTAAATCATTGAAACTTATGCAGTTTTTTAGGTCCTTTCTACATGGTCATATAGCTTTTCAACTCTTTCGGTTTGTATACATCATTGGCTTCCAACTATTCGGTTTTGAGCGTTCATGATGAAAATAAATCTAGAAAATCGTTTTGGATGCAGGGAGTTTTGAAGTGTTGTTCATTTTTTAATATTTCAACAGTAAAGTTAGAAACTTTCAAAACTGAAGCTGTGATACAAACATTGGACGCAGCAAAGAAGAGACAGAAGATAGCAAAACTTTTAAGTCGAATAAAATTTGACAACTCCGTGGTAAAAAAAGGAAGAACGATAAAAAGACGAACAAGCCCGTAGATCAATATGTACAAAACTAAGACTGAGGCACCACGACCCCAATAAAAAACTCGGGGTGAACTCATGTACTCCGGAAGGGTAAGCAGTTCTTGCTCCCGTCCTGTAATGGAGGTTTTTTTTGTACAGGAATATCATTTTTTCTAGTATATATATACGTCTATAAGACAGACACCCAACGACACACAAAACTAAAAGCCTACTTGTTAAGCGTGTTGTGTAACTCAGGTTTACGTGTAACAATTACATTAAAAATATAACTATTAGTATAGTTCATGAATATAATTTACAGCTTCCCATGTTGTGTAGTAACTTCTTATCCTTCCGGAGCTCTTCAGTTAGATCCCCGGGTTTTGTATGGGTTTCGTGTTGCACAATCTTAAGTTTTCTTTGTAATGTTATTGTTGTTTGTTCTTTTCGTCGTTTTCATTTATGTTCTTGGTGTTGTTTTTTTTTTTTCTTCAATACATTGATGCTATGTTGTTACCTTCTTGGAATTTCCGTTCTATGTTTCCACATTTCATTATAAAAAAGCAGCAAACAAAACACTAATTAATCTTATTTTACTAGAATAAAATTCAAAAAATAAAATACAAACTGCCATTTATATGCTTCCACCCTTTTCCATTTACATGTACAAATACCAGTCACAATACTGCATGAAATTTTAAGCAAAGAAAAATTACTAAAAATAAATTGAAAATGAAATTAAACGAAAAGGCGCATGTTAAAGGTGACATATTTGTTGGTTGATTGCAAATGTTCTCATTCTAAATTCCAGACGTGTCAATCATCCACGTGATTAGTTCAGTTAAAATAGACTGAGAACAAGCGCCATGCATCCCATAAGAACTGTACCACTGATGTACTGAATTACTGCAGACGATGTCTTAGGTGTTGTTACTGCCGGTGTAGTTGTATTTGCATTTTCCTGGGCCAGTGTCTCTGTAAGATAACAAATATTATGTTAAAAAAGGAAAAACCAGAACAAATAATTAATCGAAAAAAATAAAACACTTAAGAGTAGTGGAATTCTGTATGGGTGGTGCATACATAGCAAGAGACGCTTATCCAGTCGACACACTGAGTCACGGCCCGTTTAGAGTTCAAGCAATTACCTGAGGGTTTTTTTAAAGTTGATTATGTATTTTCTTACTTAATTGACGAGACTTGAACTTCCTTAAACTACCATTTTCTACATAATTAAATGTCTGTACCAATTCAGGAATATGACAGTTGTTTTCCATTCGTTTGATGTGTTTGAGCTTTTGATTTTGCTATTTCATGAGGTACTTTCCGTTTTGAATTTTCCTTGGAGTTCGGTATTTTTGTTGTTTTACTTTCTACTAGACAAAGTGTCTCTAATTTTAGATAATTTACAACCTTTTGTAGACTTAATCCAATTGGAGCTCGGCATATTTCAGATATGTTTAGACACTTATCAGTTATTATTACATTATGTTGTATGTTGAATTCTGATTATCTTTGATTATTTGTGTCGTAGGATTATCAATGACGTATACCAAAAATTGTCTTTTATTCGTTTTAAAACATGATTTACAAATTAATTTTTAGGGAATAATTTATCAACATAGTTATACCGAAAACGAAAAGCTTCTCTAAAAAGTAAAATTAATTATAAAAAGTAAGATTTTCTACTGTTTGTTTGTGTTCTTGTTAAGTTTCCCGCTTTATTACTGTTTTGTTTTGTTACTTTGGTTAATTAATTTTCTCATTTTTGCTTGACCCTAGTTGGATAAAATACTTATTTCTCGCTTGTATATAGAAGACATGTTTTTTTTCAATATATAATTGATGATAACAAAAGAGGAATCCCAACTCAAATTTGACAAAAGAATTCCGGACCTTATTCAATAACAAAAGGGAATTGACAAGAGCCGTAACTGGCTCCTGAAATTGCTAACATAGTGAATTATATCTAAATATGAATGAATGAATCTTAAAATAAGACTCCTCTAATTTTCAGGTTTGCAGTTTTGCATTAAATGCAAAAAAAAATGAAGCCTTAAAGCGAATATGTCAGAACCAATTCAAAATGTAAATATTGATGTCTATCAGACAAAGGTCTTGTAAATGGGGAGGATATCATTGGATATATTTATCATTATTTTTCAAAGTCATGGGGTAAAACAAGGGGTCTCTTTATACCTTTATCTTTTGTCAGACCGTTAACAGACGATTCAGTATTGTAACCGGTCAAAAAAAGCTTGACAAACCGTACTCGACCTCTAGATGCCTCTGTTCTATTTTATGTCGTTGGGTTACTGAAAACATCAGTTTTTTTTCATCGAAATAATATACCCTTTTAATGTTGTGATCGATCTTTTCAGATTTTGTTACTGATAACTGCTAGGTTATCAAATAGATATCTTTAGGTCAAAAAAGGCTTATAACATTCCAATATTACAATAACAAGGTATATGACTATGCGGTATAGGTTTTGCTCATTGTTGAAGGCCGTAAGGTGACCTATAGTTGTTAATTTCTATGTCATTTAGTCTCTTGTGGAGAGTTGTCTCAATGGCAATCATACAACATCTTCTTATTTTTATATATAACCCGTTGATAACGTCAACAGTTACTTACCAAATACCATAGCGATGATTACTAGACAACAAATTGTTACCACTGCCTTAATCATTTTGACTGTCTGAAATTAGAAAACATAATATACTAGAGATGATGCAAAATAGCAATGCCTTATTCTGAAAAAAAACACACACATATGAGCATTGCTAACCACAGGCAAGACCAGTAATGCATACAAAGAGCCGAAAAGAACATATAATTAACATATATGCAGAACTAGTGTGAACTTATGTGTTGTGCTATCCATAACGAATGAAATCGTGTACCAAGACAGAAAGCCAAAAAACTTTAATAATGCCATAATGACAATTGGAAAAAAATCACATTGAAAAAACATAATTTATTAAAGCCAACCCTATCTGCGGGACCGTAGCTTTTATAGTCCTTTTAATACAAGACAATACAGGCGCAGTTCCGCAGCTAATTAAACCCAAATCCTTCTCCGGTAAGGAAATACAAAAGTGTTTTAAATTCCAGAGCAAATATATGATATACAACTTCTGTATTTAACCAAATTATTATAAATGTGAGCTTTTGCCACAAATTCGTTTAGGGTGGTTCTCTCCTTTGGAACATACGGGTATCTGAGTCACCCTGGTTGTCAAGTAGATTAAGGACAGGAACCAGTCTAAACTGGTTATACCTTTTTGTGACGAATCGAAATGAAAAGCTAATCTTGAAAAAGACTTTAAAAACTAACGAAATTCAAATTTAATTTTGTTTTTGCCTATTTTGTAAATTAATGGAAATACCTGGATTCTTATGTCAGATAGGCATTAGACAATAGACATTTTGGCGCCTGTCCCAAGTCAGGAGCCTCTAGCCTTTGTCAGTCTTGTATTATTTTTAATTTTAGTTTCTTGTGTACAATTTGGAGTTTAGTATGGCGTTCATTATCACTGAACTAGTATATATATTTGTTAAGGGGCCAGCTGAAGGACGCCTCCGGGTGCGGGAATTTCTCGCTGCATTGAAGACCTGTTGGTGACCTTCTGCTGTTGTCTGTTCTATGGTCGGGTTGTTGTCTCTTTGACACATTCCCCATTTCCATTCTCAATTTTATTAGACATTATTTTATTTACCAATCATGGGCCATTACATAAACATCATAATACAATGATTATATTATAAAACATACAAGTTTTTAATGAAAATACACAATACACAAAGAAATAGAGTAAAAAAATAGGAGCAATGTAAGATATACTATTACAGTATGAAGCATTTACTGTAATGAGGTCGGTTTTATATAAAGAAAATAATTTTTTTTAGATATATAACAGGAAATTATAGAACCAGAAAGATAGTTTCTCAGTTTGTAGTAGTTCTACTTATGACCAGTGCACAGCAGCGAGGAACTTTACATCACAACAATGCAGAGGTCATCAAGGGGAGGTCATTCAGAACTAACTACAGATATTATGAGATTATCCCCAATAGTGGTTCTCCTCATGACTAATGCACTGCAGCAAGGGGTTGACATTGCTACTGTGCAAGATTCATCAAGGGACGGTGCTCTAGGACTCACTAAAGGGAAATTATAAAGTTCAAATTACAAGAAGAAGAGGCAGACTAATCCCATCAAAAATTTTCATATTTCTTAATGAATATGCACAATTCTGATAACAAGTTCTCATCTTCATTATTCATTAACTATATCAGTTTTTTGGTAGGGTCTATATTTTTAAAATTCTTGCAGCAATTATTTATCATTGTTATCATATCTTTTCGTTGGTCAGATAGACTATCACAGTTAAAAAGAAAATGTGTTTCTTCTTCGACCTCATAACTACAACATCTTTTACATACTCTATTGTGTCGGCTAGTATTATTATATCTACCTCTCTCTATAAGTAAATGGTGTGCAGATATGTGAAATTTTGTTAGACTCTGTCTTTATTCAATTTTTTTAACAATATCAATATATTTTTCGCAACCAAAATTGGGATTTAGAAATAACATATGTACATAGTTTCCCTTCTGAGTGATTTTTGAAATTTTTTTCCAAATCTTTCAACATGGCAATTTTAAGTTTTCTGTTGTCAATTGGTTTATCCCTGTCAGAGGATGTTGGACAATTATTGATCAGTGGAAAAAGTTTCTCAGACGACAGATACCTTCGATATTCTATAAACCTTGCTTTTATAGTCGTATTTATTCATTGTTAACTGTCAACGAACAATCTTTAAATTGATTGATTAATGTTTGCTTAACGTTCAATGGCAAATATTTCATGCATGTTCTGGACGAAAACAAATTAACAATTAGTACAATAGATGGGTCCTGTAATAGAGGCCGTCCGGGATGAAGGTCTGGGAAAATTTGGACAGCCAATTGAAAATGAAGGTATATTGGATAGGGACAGACATTTTGCCTTTCAACAGACCACCTACGGACCATTCAAAGAGTTGTTGCAAGGGTTAATTACGTAAAGAGAGCGTGGTACTCTCTCTATACAAGTCATCTGATACAACGTCCTCATTCTGACCGGACGTGGCTGCGTACTTATACATCCCGCACAGCCAAACGGACGCCCCACTTTGGCACGGGTTTTACTGCTGTTGGATGAAGACCAAAGTGACCGTATTTCTATTCCCAAGTCACCCTTGGGGCGGGTGCAATCTTTCGAAGGCACAAGATGGTATTAAACACACACACACACACACACAATGGATTGATCGATTGTTGCCTGCTTAATGTCCAGTGGAAATTAATATTTCATGCTTATGCATGACAAGAAAAATGAATAAAACATACGTTTAAATGTGTGCAGCATCACATACATGTAACACTATTTATATTCTATAAAATAATAAATTAAAAAAAATTTTATTTCGGAATATTAATATGATTCATCAATATAAGTTATGCAATGTAAAATGGCGACTAAGTCAACAAAATGAACATCTTACAGTTATTCGTTTTAGTTTTGTATTAATTGTTTCCTCAGAACCTTTTTAAAATGTTATATTGGGGTATACTATTTAATCTAATCTTTTTGCATGTTTGATTAATTATACATTGGGAGGGAGAAATTAGCCTATATCTAATGTGAACAAGAACGAGGATCAGAAATTATTGGTAAGTACAATATAATTGTCATTCGGATTTCACTGATGATATGGGCTCATATCACGTGCCAATGCCCTAACGGCTCAGGGGATATAAAACATTGACAGATAATATGAGTCCATATCCCGTGTTAAGATCCCGGATATGATATAATTCCAGTTCACCTTTTGTGAATTTGACGTTCATTTTTTTCCAAAGACTTCATCATATACATGTAATAATGTATTAATATAAAACATGATTGTTTGTCAGCAGAAATATGAACTGTTACTTCATGATGGTGTTAGTTATAGTTATAACAGCAAAAACTAACCAAAGATAAAATGCAATCGCAAAATGCCTATTTTTATCAATAAACTCATTATAGATACCAGGATTAAAATGCTGTACGCCAGACACAGGCACTTGTCCCTGAAAAAAAAATCCTATATACCTGTTATATTAAGGTATATAGGATTTTTTTTCAGAGACAAGTGCCTGTGACGCCAGACGCGCGTTTTGTGCACATGTAACCGGAGAGCATGATTTTACATACACAATCAGTTTGTCACTTCCGGGACTCGAACCCGGGACCCCTGTGTTACAAGGCAGCACTCTAACCGACTGAGCTAAAGACGTACTTCCCTTGCTCAACCGCTTATGGCTGACTAAGTATCTACTAATGAAGGGCAGCAATCCCGTCACACTCCCCCCACCTCAAGAGTCATCATACCATTATAACTCTTACAACACATACCCTAGCTAAATAGTCTCTCTAACTACCGTGTTTTTTTTAGTTTTGGCGCCAAATGTAACCGGAGAGCATGATTTTCACTACAAAATTACATGATCTCCTCCGGGACTCGAACCCGGGACCTCTGTGTTACAAGGCAGCGCTTTATCCGACTGAGCTAAAGAAGCACTTCCCTAGCCCAACCGCTTACGGCTACTAAATGTACTAAGGGAAGCAATCCCGTCACACTTCCCCCACCTCAAAAGTCATTATACCATTATGACTCAAACAACACATACCCTGGCTAGAAATCCTCTCTAACCACCGTGGGTTTTTCAATTAGGCGCCAAATGTAAGCGGAGAGCATGATTCCACATACAAAATCAGTTTTTCTCCTCCGGTTCTCGAACCCGAGACCTCTGTGTTACAAGGCAGCGCTCTAACCGACTGAGCCAATTTGAAAGACGTTCTTCCCTAGCTCAACCGCTTACGGCTGACTAAGTATCTACTTATGAAGGGAAGCAATCCCATTACACACGAAAGACTTATCAGTGTCGCTCGAATAAAAAAATATAAAAAAGGACAAATAGAGTACGAAGTTGAAGATCAAAGTAAAGGTTAATTGTATGGGGTAGAAATAGAAAATGACTGAATTTGTTCATATTTAAAAAAAAAGTTGTTGAAACTTGTTATTATAAAAATTATATGTCACTGAGGTTGTTTTGAAGATACAGATTGTAAAAAATTGAAATGTATAAATTATTCAGATAAAATGCATTATGATGTGAATAGAAAAAATATAATTGACTGAATTTTGAAATTCAATATGAGAAGATAGTTCTAATAAATCTTCTTATATCTATCTACTAATAAAATTGCACTGTACATTAAAATTGGTTTTACTGAGTTACCTCCCCAGAAAAGGCAGAGTTTAACAAAAAATATTCGAATAAAACAATTGTTTTTTTTAGTTAAAAACAGTTGCAATAAAAAATATGATTTCTTCCATGTCAGTTGAAAAGTTTAAATTTAATTACATTTTTATTTAAAATTTGCTGTTTAAATACAAATATGGACCGATCACCTGCTGCTATGTTATGATCCAAGACAACGAACGACTTCCCCTTCACTCACCATCAACAATAATCTCCATACAAATGGACGTAATTAAACCGATTATTGACTAAAACATTATCCGTGATATATATACTACCGTACTTCAAGTAAATAAATATCTTAGGGAGAATAAGGATGTTCTCTCCTCTGTTTAAGGAATGACTGTAATATTTTTTCTGTCTATGAAGAAATAACATCAAAAATGTGGTGCACACTGAATAACCCGCGTATAATCTAATTCTTAATTCCATTTTAAACCGGAGTAAATCATGAACAAACGTTGATGACGTCACGGTCACATGACAAAATTATGTCTATGAGCTGATAAACATTTAGCGACGTCAGCCAATCAGAAGACGCGTTACATCCAAAATTAAATCATTTCAAAATAACAAGCTTCTTAAAGACTATAATAAATTGATATAATATAAATAAGGGAACTTAAAAAGCAGTAAAAATTGAAAGGGGTTTGTCTTTGTTTTTTTTTTTTAGATATTTATCAATTGAAAATTTTGCGGGAAATTGTTTAATATGATAAGAAAAGTAGGCCTAGGGGTAATCGGGCGAAATTTTTATGGGCACTACATGGATAAAACTAGAGGATTCCGAATATCTGACAAAAAGTTAAAAACAAGAGTAACGAACATCCTTAACGACATGTAACACCTGTGACGAGGGTTCAGAGGTCAAAATTACTCCGGGTGGGGAAAAGGGAGATGACATGCATGGGTCTGTAAAAAAGAAAAATGTAATGTAATTTTCAGAAAAAAAATGTAAGGTTTGGCCACTTTTTTTTTTATCATGTGCATATTTATTTTATCCACTGTTATTATCTCAATCCGTCCTTTAAAATTCCCTTAAACATAAAATAGCCAACACCCTACGAAATATCTGAGTTGGCAATCAAAGAAAGAGGGTAATGTGGATGATATCAAGCTTTGAAAGAAGATGTTTATACAGGTCACACTTAAACTTGACAAGGAAGTTTTTCTTTGCATAAGTATGATAAACATCTTTCAAGTCATGTTAGTTATATAATCTTAACATCAATGTGAATTTTATCTTTAATATTTTTTTTTGGATTAAATGTCGATCTGAGATAAAGTCCATCCGTCCGTCCCATTTTAGTTTCGCACTCTAACTTAAGTTTTCCTCTTCCAATGCCCTTTATAACTTGGAAAACTGCATTTTTTTCGTTTCCGCACTCTAACTTGAGTATGTATCATGCAAATTTAATGAAGCTCATACACAATACTAAGAACTATAACAAGCAGAGTTCTCATTTGGTCAGTGAGTCATTTATCGTTATAGAGTATGCCCCTTTTTAACTTGGAAAATTACAAAGCTTGAGTGTGGGCATTCGTGTCTTCAGACGGGCGCATAACTTTTGCGCGCATTTGGGGATTAAAATATTTTACGTTTGCGCGCAGCTTTTGATTACATTTGCGCGCATTCATTTGACAGGTAACACAGGTGAAATAAAGATAATTTATAATAAATATGACTCTAGTTATTATGAATTTTGACCATATGCAGTGTAAATAATTGCAAAGGTATTTCACCAGATTCCCTATTTCCTCCAGATCTTTGGTCATCACTACCGTCAGCAGAATCCAGGCGTACTACAAACGGCCCGGAATAATTCCATGCTCACTACAATGAACAATTTGATTCAACACATCCATAAAATTGAGACTGGAAATTGGGAATGTGTCAAAGAGACAACAACCCGACCAAAGAGCAGAAAACAGCCGAAGGCCACCAATGGGTCTTCAACACAGCGAGAAAATCCCGCACCCGGCTGCGGGCTTCAGCTGGCTCCTAAATAAAAATGTGTACTAGTTCGGTGGAAATGGACGTCACACTAAACTCCAAAACATATAAATGAACTAAAATTTAAAAAAAACAAACATGTATTTTTGTGCACGTTAGTAAAATCCGGACTTTCAATCTTTAGATTCACTATGTTTTAACATTTTTATTTGTATATATTTCTAGGACTAAGTGCTTGTGCACTATAGAACATACCTATCCTGCTGAAAATTAAAAGTTAAATAAATAAATAAGTATAATATAAAAATGTACCTGTATTTAACTGAGTTTACCTGTAAAAGAATGCGCGCAAATGTAATCAAAAGCTGCGTGCAAATGTAATGTACCGCTTCAGACACATTCTTCATTTGATGCCAAGTTTTTTTGTTTTTTTTTTGGGGTGGGGGGGTTTGCAGGAAGATTTTTTGTGGAAAGAATATTATTTTTCACCTTTTGTTAGGTAGGCTTATTTTTTCAAACGGCTTTGACTGAATTTTGAATAAAAAATTGAAATTGGGTCAGTACATTAAACAAATGGAGAAAATCGATTATATTTTGTTGCACTTCCTGTCATTTTCAAGTATAAATGATTTTTCAGATTTGCGGTATAAAACGCAATTAATATTTTAATTGATTTGTATATTTATAGAAATATTACTATATCTATTCACTTATAAGATTGCCTTAAAAAATGGTTTAAACAGTCATATTGATTGATTGTTTTAAGACTATCACACTAAATTATGTAAGATAACTTTTAAAATGTATCATATTCCTCATTTAGTTTTGTATACTGTTGTTTGTCTTTTTGTCGGTTTCCTTTGTAATTATCTTCCTTTTTTTTGTTTTGCATTGCTAAACGTTGTCTTATTCACCTCTCAATGAATGTCTAGATCAGAGCTTTGTTTCAAATCATTTTAGAGCATTATTCCTCTCAATATTCTAGCTAATAGTCAGATTTTTGTTATTTATCAAAATTCAACACGTTGATATGTATTTGTCTCTCGTTTAAAATGTTTCGCAAATTACAATTTATACAAAAAATGTGGTAGTATTGCCAATGAGACAACTCTCCACAAAGACCATACTGCATACTTAAAATATATTACAAAGTTTGCATACGACTCGTGTTTCAGGAAAAACCTTCCACTGGTACCCTCCAGACAAAAGATTTCAGAGAGCCAAAAGTGTAAAAACCCCTGTTAGCCTAAAACAAAAGTGCGTTAACAGAACATGACAACTTTCCCCGAAAACCTTTTTCATCGAAGAGAGCTAGTGTACAATCCTTTAAGACTATTTTTCAAAATATGAAAACTACATTTTCTATATATCTAGTAAGTACTCTAATACATATATTAAAATTGATATAAAACTTGATATAAGAACGAATTAAAAAGAATGAAAATAAACAAATAAGCAAAAATATGAGAACTCACTTCTTCCTATCTTCCCGTATGTCAGATGCAGATGAATCAAAGCAATTAATACGCGTGTCCGGTACTTTAATGACAGTCCAAGGGGACGGATATAATTAACATAATCGGCTAAGTAGGAAGTAAAAGGCGGAAAAATTAGTTCGGCTAATGAAATTTTCCCTCTAGTTCCTCATTATGTTATTACGTCAGATGTTTAAAGAGGACATCACTAAATATTTACTCAGAAAGATTTATATTTTGGCAAAATGTAGATTTAAAAATGCTTTTTTCCACAAATATAATCAAAAGTATAGATCAGTGGCCCAGGGGCGTAGCTAGGTATCGAATAAGCTGTAGGCACAACTTGCGGCAAGGGGTCTGGGGGCCGCTTAAGGCCCCAGCTGGTAGGGGGTTCAGGGGGGGCTAAGCCCCCCAACGGAAAACGGTTTTCAGCATTTTTAGTTGCAAAATTTTGTATACAAAAAACATAAAATTTACTGGTCCAAAATGCATTTTATCATGCATGATAATATACATGAAGAAAAGTTTGAAGAATAACAAATAATTTTACAATAACATCAGACTAATGAATTAACGCATTACAATCGGAAATCTAAAAAAAATATTTACAATATGCATTGCCCAGCGTAGATCAGCGTAACCCTTTAATTAAGCAGGGGGGCCTCGGTGGCCGAGTGGTCTAAGTAGTTACTACTGTAATCACTAGCCAGTCAACACTGAGGTTGTGAGTTCGAACCCCGCTCGTGCGGGTGCACTCGACTCCAATCTTAACTGACTAGGATTGTCAGTTTTCCTATCGAAGGTCGGTGGTTTTCTCCGGGCACTCCGGCTTCCTCCACCAATAAAAACTGGCCGCCACGAAATAGCCCAAAAGCGGTGCTTAAAAGTGGCGTTAAAACACCAAAAAATCAATCAAAATTTAATTAAGCAGTACAAATTATTAGTATTTTCATATCTATTCCTTTCTGATTGAGGATAATTGATATATATGTACATAATTATTGACTATCCTTTCAATTAAGAAATAGGCACGTAAACACTGAGACTACTACATTTATATAATAATACTATCCTTTTGACTAGACATCGACCATTCATCTTTTAATTCTTAAACCTTTACCCTCCCCGGCCACACAAACACATACGCACACACAGTCGATGCCTAATGCAGAAGTTCGGTTCTGTTCATACTATCTAACAAAATTCAAGAAATTCATATTTTCTGATATCCTGTACTGTAAAATCCCTACCCGCCTAGGAATTTGAATAATTATTGTCATTACTCGTAGATTTGAGACTACTCAAGATTACTGAAAGCTAGTTGATTTATTGATTGATTGCTAAACGTCAAGTGGCAAATAGTTCATGCATGTTCAGGACAAAAACAAATTTACAACAAATACAACAGGTAGGTACAGTAAAAGGGGTCGTCCAGGATGAAGGTCAGGAAATTTGGAAATGCCTTTGGAAAATGAGGATATTTTTGGATAGGGAAAGAAATTTTGCCTTGCATCAGACCACCTACGGACCCCTGAAAGAGTTGTTGTGAGTGTTCTTAACGTGCAGATAGCGTGGCATTGTCTCTACATTATATAGGCATTGGATTTAACGTCCCTTTCTGACCAGACGTGACTGCGTATTTATACATGCCGCACAACCAAACGGACGCCCCACTTTGTCAAGGTTTTTATTGTAGGTCCGACGAAGACTAAGTAGAAAGCTAGTTGAAAGCCAACAACTAATAAAAAAAATCATGTTTCTAAGAATTAAATGTAAGGGTTTTGAGCATGTTGAAGTTTTTTCAAATATTTGTTAATAGAAGTGTAATGATCTGAACCAAAGTTCTAGTTTTTAGTTTCTATATAAGGTGGAATATCATGTACATACAATTCTATCTACTACTCGGAATCTCCATTCACTAAGGATGATAGACTAGCGTACAATTGAAGAGTTTTGACGACTTCACGTGCATCTGCAGATAACGTTGTCCATGCAGCCATTATTTGAAAAAAAAATATTTGTGAAAAACATTATGTGTAGGCACGTGCCTAAAGTGCCTAACGGCAGCTACGCCCCTGGTCCGACTCACCGTGCTATTTTCAAACTACAAGTAGTTCAAAATTGCACTATTTGCATAGATTATTCTTGAAAAAAATACTTTTTAGACAGAAATCTATCCGATAGGATTTTAAAATAAAATATGAGATGATAGATTTTATATGCTTTTAGAAAATAAATAACCAATATGGGTCATTTTCAAAAAATGTCGAATTTTGAAATTGCAAAATTAAATTAAAGTTACTAATTTAAGCAACCCTCTTTATAAGCAAATCAAAACAAACAGTACTTATGGAACAACACATAAAATGCAATCTTGATAATGTCATACAAGAATACATTGAAACATTTTTTGATAGTTGGTGCAATATTGTGTCTCTCCTGTTACCATGTTTAAAAGAAATTTCGGGTTATTTAGAATAGGTTTCGATAAAATTTTAAGCTTGTTTTTCATAATCAATAAAATGGTTTTCAAGAGTAAAAACTTTTTCATTCTGTTTAATGTTTGTCAATTTTCCATGTTGACTTGTACTGGAAAATACCTCTAAAAATTGCTTTTCAAAGGTTATAAAAATAACCATCAGCAACGTAAGTCTAAGATAGCAATTCTTAATGTTCAGCATTTTGTTTTTGCTTTCTAATAAACCCAACATCAAGTAAATTGTCGGAAAATATAAAGTTTATTTGTATGAGCTTTAGAAACAGGACGAAAAGAGAGGCTAGCCGAAATTTTCTCATGTTTCGTAGCGAGCACAAATATATTTTATATTTCCGACAATGTACATATATTGTTTTTATCCCGCAATTTACACCCATGGTCATATGGAAAATTGAACCTCTTGAAATTTGAACCCGGGGTCAATTTTCCATATGAAATATTGAACCACCCATGGAAAATTGAACTCCCAGTATTTCTTTAAATGACTTTCAAATGTACATTAGGTTAAGCATTATAACTATACTGAGTGGTATGAGTAGCTGTGACAAATTGAAGGTCTATAGAGGTGGGTGGGGGTTCACTTTCCATGGCTGAGTAATTTTTTTTAAAAATATTATTTAAAATATTTTATTCCTACCAAGTACTTATTAATGCATTATTACTATATAACAAAGTTGGAATACCTATGACAATTTGAAAATCTGATGTCTACAGGGGGTGTTCAGTTTTCCATGGTAAGGGGTTCAATTTTCCATGGCTGAGTAAAATTGTTTTCTAATTTTCTTACATGCTTTATTCCTACCAAGTACTTATTATTGCATTATAACTACATAACATAGCTGGAATAGCTATAACAATATGAAAATATGTGGTCTATAGGAGGGGGTTCAGTTTTCCATGGCTAATAATTTGAAACATTTCATTACATGTTTCATTCCTACCCCCAGCCATTCTCAGAATTCTCAGCCATGAAAAATTGAACCCTCTACCATGGAAAACTGAATTCCCTCCTACAGATACTCAGATTTTCAAATTAGCATACATGTAGCTATTCAAGCTATTTTATATAGTAATAATGCATTCATAAGTGTTTGGTATGCTTACATATCTTAACTTATCTTGAACCATTTTTACTCAGTCTTGGGAAACTTAACCCCCTACCTCGGAAAATTGACCCCCCTCCCCCCTCAAATATCAGGATTTCAATTTATAACAGCATTTTAAAACTACTTATACCATTATGTAATGATCCAATTAGTGTTTTTAATGAACAAACAGGGGGTTCAATTTTTCCATTAAGAGGGCGGGGGGGGGGGGGGGGGGGGTGTAATTACCCGCTATGGGTCAACTTTCCATATGTCACCAGTACTTGAGGCTTTTGTTGTTTAAATCCAAATCATTGTCTCTGATATTTCAAAGAAATTGACATAGTATATTTTGTCTATTTGTCTCTATTCTGTATAATTTGTCTATTTTTCTCTATTCTGTATAATTTGTCTATTTTTCTCTATTCTGTATATTTTGGCCAATTTTCTGTAGTCTTGGCTCATTGTTCTTGGTGTTGTAAACCCCTTGTAGACCCTCAAGTTCTCAACAATGACTAATTGTATTCGACAATCTTTTAATCTCATGAAGTCTAAAAAAAGGTTATGAATAATTTATAAATAGGACTTTGAAAGATTGCTCTCGTCATCACATTCCATAAAGGACAATTAATGTATAGACAAATTGAATGTTATCATCCGGTATACATGTATATCGAGAAAGGTCGTGAAAAAATAAGTAACGTCGGTCAAGTATTGGAATGGGATCGTGAAGGCAATCTTATCAGGAAGACACATGCAAGGTCAATAGATAATCTAACTTTTTTTAATTATAAGGACAAATTAAAATAAACATGGTTGTTTTCATTATATGAATGACTAAATCACTATTCTCTGAACGTTCTATATAAATGTTTCAAATGGCTCTCAAAATTATTTTAAAGTAGTTTAATCAGAAAGTTGGTCAAAATTAGAATATTTGTATAAATTTGATATTTATGATTGCGAAAGATCAGGTACCACTTATTTTTTATTGCACAAATTATTTAAAGTGTTCAAATAATTGTTATTATATGAAAATGTATTATGTAATTTGTACAGCCAAAGACTACACTTCTTTTTGACAGTTCACTATTTGTTGGGGAATAATCTGTTAGGCTGTGATGGTTCAATGCAACTTGGTCTGGTATTTTAGCATCAACATTTTTTTGTCGTTAATATAAGTCAATATATATATAAGAAGATGTGGTATGAGTGCCAATGCGACAACTCTCCATCCAAGTCACAATTTGTAAAAGTAAACCATTATAGGTCAAAGTACGGCCTTCAACACGGAGCCTTGGCTCACACCGAACAGCAAGCTATAAAGGGCCCCAAACATTGCTAGTGTAAAACCAATCAAACAGGAAAACCAACAGTCTAATCTTTATAAAAAACGAGAAACGAGAAACACTTATGAACCACATCAACAAACGACAAACAAGAATGCCTAATCAGATGTTAACATTGTTTCTAAATAGGAAGGGACTCTGGTAGCGGTGATATATCATTGAACCCTAAGCTATGTGAAACATCACGTAAAATATTACAGCATTTATTTTTTACTAGTGTACGCTGGTTTTCAAAATTAATAGTTTTCCCAGCATAACTTTAAGGTAAGCACTTCACGACTACACGATACATAACCAAAAAATAAATTAAAAAGTGTAAATGGCAAAGTAAATGAATGCGGTTTTACAAATATGTTCCTGACTGGGTAGTTGCAGTGGTAAAACTTAGACTCACAATTTAAGCAATCATGGCTTTCCGAATTCCAAACACCCCAAAAATGTGTTGGATTTATAAAATCTACAAGAAAGATTTAACATTTGAAACATATTTGCAAATATTTCATTTTTTGTAAAATTAGAACACTAAATCACACACAATTAACATATCGAAAGATGTCGATGGACAAATGTAGAAAGATCAGAGAGAAAACTTAAAATTTGTGACAGATCCGAGATATAAGACGAACACCATTATATATAAGAATGTCCTGTGCTGAAAATAACATTTAGCCCATATTTTTTATGTCACGCAAGTGTATTAAACATTCTCTGTACCTTTCATTTTATTGTATAAAAATTAGGAGATGAGGTATGGTTGCCAATGAGACAACTATCCACCAAAGTTCAAATAAAGCGAATGTAAGCAATTATAGGCAACCGTACGGCCTTCAACAATGAGAAAAACCCATACCGTATAGTCGGCTATAAAAGGCCTGGACATGAAAAATATGAAACTATTCAATTGAGAAAACTAACGGCCTAATTTATAACAAAACAATTAATGAAAAACAAATATGACAGACATAAACCAATGTATTGGTTTAATTTTAGAATAAAACATAATGATTGTTGTTGGATTAAATATTTTATTATAACTATCAGTTTACTTTTTAAGACACATGTCACGTTTCGCTTGTATTTGATTGAACCATCTAAAAGTTGTAAATCTTGAAAAAAGAACCTAAACATTTAAGAATCTGAATGGCTTCATTCTAATATTATGGTTTTTTTTAACTATTATGTGCAAACCTGCCTAAGAATCAGGCAGTGGTCAAAACATGACAAACAAAAAACCCACTTAACTTTATATTAGTTTGAGTTCAGAATGTATAATGGTGCATGAATATCACATTCGTTTCCTTTCCCTGTTCTGGTAAACCAAGATATAATTTGGTTGTAATGCACTATAAATTAACAAGTATTAAAGGGGAGATAACTCCGTAATTTGCTAGCATTCTATCCAAAATTTGTCAAGATATTTCTCGAATTACCAGACACGCAGAAACGAAAGATCTACCATTTCTAACTCAGGATGAGGTTACCTTCAAAATAGGGTGGTTAGGTCGGTGGTTTTTTTTCGGCCATGTTTTGAATTTTTTCTAAATTGCCTGATTCTTACAAAGACTGGCACTTAAGCAAATATCCATACAATCGAATAATATCTATCATATAATGCTGTTGGACATAATTTTAATTCATTATAATAATATTTGCAGATGCTACATCGGACGATCACTGAATACATCATTTTCCCTGGGTCACTTGCAGTTGCCAATGACTTAAATATTTAGTTTATTTTTATATTCGTCAGGAATTAGTTTAGAAAAAAAAAAAATTGAAAGATCCAAATGCTTTGTTAGAACCTGTATTTAACATTCTCTTTACGAACGAAAAATGTTCTTTTATCTCATAAGAAAATAAACCTTAAATTGTTTTAGAAAAAAAACGAAACAAAATGATACAAACACTTTGTTAGAATCAGTATTTTCTATTATTCTGAATGTTATGGTATCCATAAAATTTACTTATGACTTGTTGTTACATGGATCTATATTTCATTTAAATGTTGTTTAAATATAAATTTTTATTGTCTGTATTTGGATCACACCTCTATTGTGCTCTTTCCAATAAATATTGAATTGAATTGAATTATTATATTATATACTAGATGGTGACCAGCAAGCGCGGGAATGATGGACATCTAGCGTTTCTATATATATATATATTATACACATCCCTTGCTTTCAAATATTTAGGTTTGAGCGTTCCTGATGAAAGCCCCGTATGAATGCCCCGGATGAAAGCATAATATCCAGAAAAGCGATTAGGAAGAACGAAATTAATTAAGTGTTATTTTCATGAATGATTAACGCAGGACACTACGCAATGAATCAAAGTTATTAAGACAAGATGACTGAAAAGTAAGCAACCAAACCATACAAGAACATTTTAGTTATCTCTTAACTGTGCAAAGGGAGACAAACTAATTACATTTAAATAGTGTGAACGGTACAATTGGTTGTATATCTTTGCATCCAAGTACCCAGTATGAATATTTGTGACGTCACATTGTCGAATTTTTTATATTTGCATTTGTAAAGCAACTCCTAGGAAACACACGTTGTCGTAAAGTTTCATCAGCAACAATAGCAAGAGGACATAATTAGGTGGTACAACGTTAATTTCAATAACCACAGACACAGGTTTGAAAATTGTAAAAGCAAACCACTAATTTACAGGCACTTCGAACAAGGTATAGAGCCTCCTCATGGGGTTTTTGATTATGTGATTACTTGGCCGTTTTTATAGTAATTATTTGATTACCAGACCAAATATTTCATGATTATTTGATTATGTGATAATCTAGGACTGTATTTTTGATTATTTGATTATCTTGTTTAAACAAAATAATTAATGATTATGTGATTATATTGGCAAAAAATTTGTGATTATGTGATTACTTGGACAAACCCATGAGGGGCCTCAAGGTAGAATTTAAACAAATTTATTAGAAGCATATTTTTTTAATCAATGATTTAAAGTACACATTCTTAAGTAATTTCCATTTCTTAACAATTATAAAAGTGTTCAGTGTCACACATTTCTCCAATGCACAAGAATACTAAATGAGGATTGAGCGTCGACATCTTAGATAAGACGTTTCATTACTCAAAAGTTTGTTTTACATCATTTTATAGGCTATTAAGAGACATGCAGTTAGAATAGCACTGCTTATATACTGCATAACTGCTGCGTTTGGTACTGTGGCAGTGTCATTTTGTGCTGCACACCCTGAAAAAGAGAAAATATTGTAATAGCATTAAAAAAAGTCCTCAATGAAACGTGTACATACTATGTTAAATATATTAACATTTATGATGATAATTGTTGGTTGCTTACCGTCCAGCGGCAAATAGTCCATACATGTTTAGGACGATTAACAATTATGTAAGGTTCGACTAGAAATGTTGCTGGTTTGTGTCTCTGAACATTTTTCCCGTAAGCATATCGATGACGATTATCATTATATTTATAAATGTAGACGACAACTACAACGTCGTCATCTCGCATGTAACATTTCAAGATTTTAATGAGATGCTTATTATGCATGTACTAAACAAAATTATTCGTATTTCCCTTTTCAATGATCAGTACTGTATAAATAACAATGTACACAAACCAAATCTAATGTATGTTGCCTTTCACCCTCTCGGTAATGTGTTATTTAATTTGAAGTGTTAAACATTTCACAATTATGGAATTTTGATTTACCATTCTTTTTTTTATTGGTTTATAAAAGAGAGAACCACAACAAATCGTTTTTACTTGATCATATGTGTTAGAGAATAAAATTGAGAATGGAAATGGGGAATGTGTCAAAGAGACAACAACCCGACCATAGAGCAGACAACAGCCGAAGGCCACCAATGGGTCTTCAATGCAGCGATAAACTACCGCACCCGGAGGCGTCCTTTAGCTGGCCCCTAAACAAATATGTATACTAGTTCAGTGATAATGGACGTCATACTAAACTCCAAATTATACACAAGAAACTAAAATTAAAAATGATACAAGACTAACAAAGGCCAGAGGCTCCTAACTTGGTACAGGCGCAAAAATGCGCAAAGAATGTTACTGTCGTATAAACCAATAAAAAGTGACATTTTTCTTATTTCATGATGAATTATGCTGAATACAGTGCGCACTCGTCAGCTGAACTTTCTTTTATTTTAACTTTCGTCTATTACGAAGGATCGTCTCTTGGTAATACTATTGTATATATTAACTTATTACTTCAGAATTGTTGACCTTAATGCCTATCTGATTGGTTAAGCTAGTACCAATCAAATTTCAAATATTCTTGTTGTTACATGAGCTGGTTGAACGCTCGAATTTTAATCTTTCAAAGAAACTATGAATGCTCGGTGTATTTCTCGTATCTTTTATATGTTATCAGAAGTTAGGTTAATTAAGTCATTTTCAATTGCCCTATTTATTTGCAGATACATGTACACAGCTATCCAAAGTTAGAGTTTTGTTAGTGGCTTATAAATATACATTGGTCTACAACCAATTTACCTTTAGATTAGGGGTTATCCCAGTTTTTTTTTTCTATATTCTGTTCTTTGTTTTGATATTACTACTCCATCATTTCATTTTCATGTCAGTCATTGTCAAACTTTTTGCAAGAAATTAAGAGAAGGAGTTCTAAATATTTCATTACACTTACCTAGCATCATCAAGGTAAACACCAGATATAAAGCTGTCAGGATATGTTTTATCATTTTATGTGTAGTCTGCAAAAATACAATAAAAATCAAATTGAATGATAACAATAAATGCATCTCAAATACCTTATATTCTCATAAGATGTAAGTGTACTCAATATTTAATAACGAGTCTTGACCTGTTACGGAACTTATTCTATCATAAATGTTCATTTCTGTTTATATTTAAATAATTACATTACATGTATGTTTCATTATAATACGTTATTTTGATTGGCTAATAGCAATCTCGCGTCATTCTGAAATTAACATTCATTTCAAATTTCAAAATGAAATGTAACATTCATGATGACACGAGCTTCCACAATAAAGCGCATAGGTTAATAAAAGAAAAAATGTAATTATAAGTATTGAATGCTTCTTTTAGTAATTGTATATGGTTGTAAACGCGTTGACCGTGCGAACATTTTAAGAATGAAGCGCTTGCGCGCTTCATACAGAATGTACTTCGGTCAACGCTTTTACACCCCAATAAATTTACAAACATAAGCATTCAATTCTTAAATGACCCTTCTATTCTCTGCTAGTCTCACAGGCTATCATACACATCTGTTGTTCCTCATCACATTGTAATGCATAGGACATAGCGAAGATTTATCTCTTATGAAGTGGTAACCAAATAGCTTTTATCGCCATATATACCAATTAATTATATTTCTTGATCGAGTGCATGCGTTTCCCATAATTGTTTTGATTTGATCTGTATCTCCAAATTTGACTTGCTAGATTCAGGCACAGTCTATACTATAGAAAAGTTAGTATAGACTGTCCCTGCTAGATTTGATATCGGTTAAGTACTGTTGACTTTTACTATTCATCGCCATTTATACTAATTTGTTATATGTCATCGCCATGTATACCAATTTATTATATTTCATCGCCACATACTAGTACATGTATACCAATTTATTGTATTTCATCTCCATGTATACTCATGTATTGTATTTCATCGATTAAATCAACCACAGGGGTTTACTGGGGTATAGAAATACGGTTATCCTTGCCTGGGAGAAAAATCCTTGTAATATAAGTGGGGCGTCTGCTTGACAGTGCGAGATATATACATGCACAATCACGTCCCGTAAGAATGGGAACATGGATTTTAATGCCCCTGGTAGGGCAAGTGTCATGCTCTATGTACGTTAAAGAACCCTCGTAATATGAGGAGCCCAATGCAATACCTGTTGGAAGGGAAATATTTGACCCTATCCAACAAACCCTCAGTTTCAGTGGTAGTCCAAATTTCCCGGGTTTCGTGCCTACCTTTCAGAACATACCTAAAGCAGTAATGTTAATTTTTTTTCTGAATATACATTAACTAGTTGACATTGGACGATAAGCAAGCAATTCAACCCACATGACCTCCATGGCTACGTAAAAATCAAAGTACTGAAGTACTGAACATCGGAGGACCGCAAGTTCTTGTGGATGGTCAAAAGCACATGTCACCGAAAAAGATCACATCTCTATAAAATTGAGAATGGAAATGGGGAATGTGTCAAAGAGACAACAACCCGACCACAGAACAGACAACAGCAGAAGGCCACCAACAGGTCTTCAATGCAGCGAGAAATTCCCGCACCCGCATACCTGAAACTGAGGTTAATGTACAGATATATTTTTTTTTCTGAGACAAGTTCGTGCGTGGATGATGAATAAATGACAGGAAATTCAACCACACCGTAATAACTATTATATTGTAGTGATACAAATCAGTATACTTGGGACTATTATACTAATATAATAATAGTCCCAGAGTATGTATACACTGGTTTGTTGTTATATATTATATTAATATAACAGTTACATGTATATATAATTTTCATCCATTTGTATATCATTCTATTGTACTATTCTAATAATAGTGCAGTGCAAGTTCATGGTGGACACATGGTAAAAAAATCCATTTTTCTAAAAGATTGGATATGAGAAGCCATTCATATTTTCCCGCAAAAACAATTACAGAGTTACCGGTCCTTGCCGCAAGTGTCACAAAACGTTCTTAAGATATTCTTCCACAAGCTTTAACACAATTTTTCGGTACGTGTGCATAGATATTATCAATTATTTTTTTACTTTTATATATATATATCTAACGACAAAACATTTTCATATTATTAATTTGTGTTTAAAAAAAATATTTATAGGAGCATCCATTGAAAAAAATGAATTTAAAACAAGCGATAAGGAATGTTATTTTGCGCTAGATAATGTCCGCGGATCTATATAATTTTTTTATAGATCTGTTGAAAACCCAAAACTAATTTGCATAATGGAAATTTAGGCGATAGCAATACATCGGAATGACCTCACGGTCATCTCGATGTAAAAAGTAAAGGCAAATCGGTGTGAATGA